AAACAGTTATTTACAGAGTTTGATGAGTGCGTCAACAGATGTAGCAGAGGTGATCTTCCCATCTAAGAAGTAATAAATACTGTACCTTTGTGTCACATAATATTTACTAATGAACCTTTTTTCTCTTCAATCTTAGTGTGATCTTGTTTGTACTTTTTTCCACCCCTTACTTCGTGATGAGAAGGCTGAAGGAATAGCTAGGTCTGCAGGTGAGATCACCTTCTCTTTGCTGTTCCTGACTTTGAGGGTGGGAGGGGAGGGATGTGTGTAGGTACACATACATGTCGAAGCCAGAGATCAGCTTTGGATGATGGTCTTTAAAGGCTGCCTTGGTTTTTGAACCTGGAGCTTGCCAAGCAGGCTAAGGTGTCTGACCCACAAGTCTGTAACTTAAGAGTGCTATGGACTGACAGCTTCCTGGCTGTAGTCTGAGAATGGGACAAGGGCAGTCATTTGGGTTTTGAGACAGTTTTTTTACATAGCTCAGGCTGGCCTTGAACATATCTGTAGCTCAGACTAGGCTTGAACTGTGGCAGTCGTCTTGCCTCAGCCTCCCAACTGCTGGGATTGCAGGTATGTGCCACCAAGCCTGGCAAGAACAGTCTCTCTAAGCCAGTCTACTTGTGGATAAACTTAGCTTTGCCAATAATTAGCATCTGATTACTGAAAAAGTATAAATGAGTGGCCTATGAGGTTCTTTACTTCTACCCTCTCCCCCTCACCCTCCCCTTGTGTGGTGCTCCTAGAAATAAAATCTTCTGTAGATAGGATGAGATAAAGAGGAGAGTACTTCTGTTTTCAGGTGAAGGTCCCTTCAGCCCTACTCCAGGCCAGATAGGAGGAGCAGTGAAGCTGTCTGTCTCGTACCGAAATGGCACCCTTTTCATCATGGTGATGCACATCAAAGATCTGGTGAGTGGCCACAATGTACTGTAGAGCAGATCTCCTTGGTAGAAAGCATTACTGTTAAGAGACTGCTTTTCTTTATAGGTTACAGAAGATGGGGCTGACCCAAATCCATATGTCAAAACATACCTACTTCCAGATACCCACAAAACGTCTAAACGTAAAACCAAAATTTCAAGAAAAACTAGGAATCCAACATTCAATGAAATGGTAAGTTAAACCCATTTCTAGAAATTTCTTAGATTTGTTGAAATTTCAGTGTTTTAAAATGCCAGGCATGGTGGCGCATGCCTTTAATCCCAGCAGTTGGGAGGCAGAGGCAAGTGGATCTTTGTGAGTTTGAGGCCAGCCTGGTCTACATAGTGAGTTCCAGGACAGCTGGGGCTACAGGGAGACCCTGTCTCAAAAAAGACAAAAAAAAAAAAAAAAAAAAAAAAAAAAAAGTTTCTAGGCTGGGCTGTATTCAGGAAGCAGAGGCAGGGAGATTTCTTCTGAGTTTGAGACCTGACTTGTCTACATAGCAAATTCCAGGCACAGATTCATAGTGATAGCCTGTTTCAAATACATCAGTGCTGTTTCTTTCATTTGATAGTTTCAAACTCGTTCTCCTTTAGTGGTCCTGGAGGTGGGACTTGGGGCCTCACTGAACACTAAGCACATGTTGTCTCCTGAATTACACCCCAGACTCCTACTTGTATATGTTTTATTCTCAGTGATCTTAAGTGAGTGTTCAAAACTGGAAGCAGTAAAGCATCAGCTGGACACTGTGGACTGGAGCTATGGCTGAGATACTCACAGCCAGCGAGTACTGCACAGCCCAGCAGTGCCTGTTAAAACCTGTCCTACTTAACTTCTCTTAGCATTTCATCCATACAGAGATGTATGACCAGAGATTGGAAGAAAACCCAAATTTTCTCAAAGCTATAAATTTTTCAAAGCTTGTTGAAAAGCGAGGGATGGTGGTACATTCCTGTATTTTTGGCACTTTTTGAGGTTGAAGCAAGAAGGTTGTGAGTTCAAGGCCAGCCTGGATTACACAGCAAATTTAAGGTCAGCCTAGGCTGTGTCTGTACAGCAAGTGCCTTTTTCAAACACCCCTATATAGCGTTCTTTCACCCCCCCTTTAAAAGCTCATATACAGTGCTTATCAGAGGGCAGTTGGTGTTTTCAGATGGTGGTGGGTTTTTGGCTTTTCCCTACTTGATGTTATGCTTATCAAGACAATGAAATGCAAGCAAGTGTTCTTGTGATTTTAGTCAAACAGCAGGAAGGACTACATTAAAGAAGTGTTTCTCAGAACTTACGGTGACTCTTCTCTGCAAAAATTAAAATTTTAGATATTGTCACGAGAATTTGAACTAGTAATATCTTTGAGTACTTTATATCTGCTGCAAACTGCACTTTTACCATGGTTTTGTATCCCACTAAGAATAAGAAGTCATCAAATCCTAGTATATAACATCTATCAATAAAAGAGAACAAAATGAAATTTATCCAACTTGCCTTCCTTTCATCCCCTTTTCCCCAGCTAGTAGATCATGGTGAGGTAATTTCCATGTGATTTCTTTTCCCCATCACCTCCATCTCAGAAAAACTGAGTTCGAGGTTTTTGTTGTGTCTTGTTCTGTTTTTGCCAATGATTGGTACTGCTTTGCACAATCTTTGTGGTAAACACTGGGAGGCGTGATAGTTCTGTCCAGTCTCGAAGGTGCAAAGCAGGCTTCTGTTGATTGAGACAAACCCACCTTGAGGGTCAGTGCCGTTCATTATGTCACTCTGATTGACATTCTCACATTTTACTGAAAATATCCCAAGAAACCAAACTTAAAATTTATCATTTTTTTTCCCTTTGATTCCAGCTTGTGTACAGTGGATATAGCAAAGAAACCTTGAGGCAGAGGGAACTTCAGCTGAGTGTGCTCAGTGCAGAGTCTCTGCGGGAGAATTTCTTCTTGGGTGGAATAACTCTACCTTTAAAAGATTTCAACTTGAGCAAAGAGACAGTTAAGTGGTATCAGCTGACTGCAGCAACTTACCTGTAAACCAGTGGATTTCTGAGCTTTGGAAGCAAGAAGTTATGAGTGTGTGCATACACTTGGGAACATTGTATATTTTTATACTTGGACAGAAATTATAAACTTTAATATACTTGCTGCATTTCAACACATCTGTTGGACCAACAGTCACATAACTTTTATAGATCTTTGGGAAGCCGTCACTATTTTGAAGTGATTATGCAGAATGCTAGCGTCCCAAACTTGTAACGTAGTAAGTGCTGAAGAAGACTTTACGACACTGCTGTCATTTCGGCCACCTTTTTCCTATTTGTTTCCTGCTATGCACCTCACAGCCCTTACCACTGTGTACGCTCACGGACACCAAAGGAAAAGGAAGATGTGAATGTCCCATAAAATGCAGCTGCTGTTCAACAGGCTGAGAAGCAAAAAGCACAAATAGTACACAGAATGTTACAAACTACTAAGTAGTACACAGAAGTAGAGAAAAACATACTGTTTTTTATTCATTGCAAAAGCCTTTTTCAGAACGAGTGCCGTCACTGAAGTGTGTGGTGGTGCCTTACTTAGCTTCTCATGCTTCGCTGGCACTTCATTTCTGGTTTTTTTCTGACTTGATAAACAGTAAGCCGTTTTCACTCTCACCTGAGGACAAACTCTGTGCTTTTCCCACAAAAATACTATTTTCTCTACTTCTGATGTGTGACTTAGTTATTTTAACTATTAAGCCATTGATTTAAGGTTTTGATGTAGTTGTACTCTAAATTCTATCATTCCATTGTAACCCTACATTTATGTGCAGGGGTGTGAATTGAAGTTGAATTTCATTTCTATGTATTTATACTTCAATCCCTCATGAAACAGTGGACACTGTTCACCCTGTGCCCATTTCTACTTGGTAAGAGGCCCAGGATAAAGATTGTAGGGTCCAAACTGAATTCTAATATAGGCATTTATGGACGGTATCGTATAAACTATCTTACACTTGTAAACATTGTACATTCATATGAAAGAATTATTTTCTGAATAGTCAATTTCAGAATTACAAAGAAGTTTGAAGTTACTGTGCAGTAACCATTAAGAGTAAGATTAATTTTATTAGTTGTTCAATTTCAGACATAAGTTTAATTTTGGTAAACATGTATATGTTTCGTGATTAGAATAGAAATTCAAACATTTTTAAAGTGGTAACAAGATGTATCAAATCTGGTTGTTGTGAGAAAACCAACAAAATACTTAGTGAAATACCAGGAGAGAAGACAATCTCTTATTCAGCTTGACAAAATGAAATATTTATGAACTCTACAAACTGATTAACAGAAATGATACTTGTAGAGCTGAATTAAAGAGTTAAGGGTGGTATCATAGTAATAGATTTAAGAAACAAACTTGAAATTTCTGGTGCCTAACAAGATGGACCATTTGTGGGGAAGCCTGTGAGTGTGATGATTCAATGTCTCTATTAAAGCATTCTGTCTGTTTGCTAAATGAATTAAAATGCAAATCAAAGCACCACCATTTGCTTTTTCCACAATTATTTCCTTAAATTGTATAATTAGCTTTGCAAATGTAAAGTAGCAGTAGAAAGTCTTAGATTTTTTTAGATCAATTCCATTTCACCTGTTTAAAAAAGCACTGTCTTTGTAAAAGGTCATTGTTAACTGGACTCTGCCTTCTGTAGTCTGTTTCAGTGTGTCTTAATTTAGCACAAATTAATACAGCTAGAAAATGCAGTGTCCCTTTTCAGTGACAAGAAATCTGGATTCATATCTGAAAGTATATATTATGATTAATACTGTATAGCTAATGAATTCAGAACAAAAGGTAATATTTTAATTTAACTAACTTTGTGCCTTCTTTGTTCATTAGAACACATATGTTTTAATAAGTTATTTCTTTGTGAAATGCTAATCTTCAGCCCATACCAAAAGCCAACAGGAGGGTAAGAGCAAGTAGCCTATTTGCACTACTGCTGCAGCCGGTCATCAATCAGCTGGATTTTAAGACCATTTTCAAGGTTACCTTAAAATAAATCTGAAAAACAGAAATAGCCAGGACACTAATTTTTATGTTTAAGCACATTTTATAACTATCTTTACTGAGTAAGATGAACCCTGGTGCATATGAGTCCTGTACCAGAATTCTTTCTTCTTGACAGTGTTCTGGGATTTGAAGATGATGGTTCATCCCAAGAACATACTGTTTTCTCTGAAGAGCCCAACAAGAACTGACACCAGTGCTTTATCACTATGTCTGTGTTCTAGTTACCTAAATGTTAAGGTATGTATGATCTTTGATAAAGGATTTCCCCTTTTCAAATTAAAATTATATAAAAGATTCAAAATCTTGCCTTAAACTGTTCTTTTAAATTCTGGCATTTAAAAACATTCACTTTAGCTCAGATTTTTTAAAAACCCGGAGCCCTGCTGTTACAATCCACAGACCAGTCTGGCTTAGTGGTGCTCGCCTTTGATCCCAGCACTGGGGAGGCAGTGGATTTCAGAGTTCCAAGTCAGCCAGGGCCACATACCAAAACCCTGCTCAAAAACAGATAATCCACAGACGTACTCACATGCTTTTTCACTGTCAGAACAAACATGAATATGGTTAACTAGTGTCGTCTGTAAGAACCAAATACTTTGTTATATTACCATAGTGAATAAAGATGTATAATATTTTTATTAATACTTGGAATATATTCAGTGGATTGAATGTGACTTTGTAACTGTACTACAATTGTATTAAACTATACTATTTCTGGAATAAAGGAAGTCAGGTGTCATTTCTTTCCTTCTTGACCTATTTTGGTTTCAACCTTTGATAATCACAGTGTTAAGTTCTGAATTTCAGACCTGGCCTGTCAGTTCCCCAAGATGTCTGAATAGAGTGTGACTTCTGAGTGTGGTTCTTTAGAGGTCTCCATAGCTATCATTTTGCTACAGCCCACCACTATTCCTAAGATGGGAAATCTTCCTTAAGTATAGTTCCTGGCCTTGGGAGCTCACTTAAATAGTAATAGTAGAGCAGTTGGCATAGTCTAGGCATAGCCCACCCACCTGAGAGAAATAAATTCTAACACCATGCCTTCATGCTCGACTACAGGCATGAGGTTAGCTCTCTAACCTCCTGATGACATGAAAAAGTGGCCAGAGGCCCTGAAGGAACTATTAGAGCCAAATCTTTATGCCACCCACTAGCTCCTGAAACAAGGTCAGTGGCCTAGGCATCTTTAAAGGAGAAAAGGAAAGGATATCTATGAGGGGTCATTCTTTCAAATAACTGAGTGCCCAACTTCCTGCTAAGCAGTTTGGGGTGCTGGAGATAAAAGCAGAAAACACTACTCCCTGTTCCAATCTTGTTGCAGGTAGACAGGCAACACATTGCTGCCTTAGAGAAGGATGGCTGGCATGTTTAGAAATGGGGCAGAGTGGCAGGACATGAGGCCAGAGGGTTGGGTTTTAAGGTATATATATGTATTTATGTACATCTGTGTGTGTACAGAAGAGGGTGTCAGATCCTCTGAAGATGGAGCTACAGGCAGTTGTAATGTAAGCCTGAGAGGGAGCTGGGAACCACACAGCCTCTTGAAGGGCAGGAAGCACTCTTAACTGCTGAACCAACTCTCCATTGCTTGAGTTAACTTCACTGATAAAGCACAGGAGGCGCCAGCAGATGGCTCATTGAATAAAAGTGCATGTCCTGTGTTACTACTTTGTTACTGTGATACAACACCATGACCCATGCAATTTATGTGTTTGTTTTGTTTTGTTTTTTTGGTTTATGGTTCCAAAGTGATGAGTTCACCAATGGTAAGTGGGGTGAAACTGGGAACACTCACAGCCCACCCCCCAGTGACCTGCTTCCTCGAGGTTCCATGACCTTCCAAACAGTGCCAGGAACTGGGAACAAAGTGCTCCCAACTTGAGTCTCTGGGGGGGTTACTTGAACCCAGGTAACAGTGGAAGGAGAGAAACGACGCCAGTAAGTTGTTTCCTGACCTCCACAGCCCATGGCACACGCGTGTGCGCACACACGTACAGGTAATTCTCAGTTTTAAAATTTCTTGTTAAAAACTGCTAGGTGGAGAATAGGTTTAGAGGAGGATACCACTTAAGTGGCCTGAGATGATGGGTAGGATTGGGGTACCAGTGGAAACAGAAGTCAATGTATTCATGATGTTTCTACGGTGACATATACCGAGACACGGAAATGAGGAAGAACGAAAAGTCCCACACTTGTATTTTGAGCAAAAGGAGTTGTGTTTAGAATGAAGGCTTCTGAGTCAGCAAGGCTTAGGGATGACAAGTTGCAGCTAAGTCTGAGATACCGATGACATATCTGGGCCACAAGCATAAATGTGGCTAAAGATTCAAATACATTTTGTTGGGCATAAAGATCACGCACAATGAATTAACAAATCCGGTATGAGTAGGGAGTGACGGCACAGGCAGAGGCGGATCTGAGTTCCAGGTCAGCCACGGCTACGTACTGAGACCCTGTCTCAAAAAAGTTCAAGTTCCCACAGTTTTGGAAAACGTTATTCAAAAGCGCGGCTGGACGCTTAAACCCTCGGGCCTCGCCCGGATTAGTGGATCCCGAGCCCCGCCGCTGTTCTGTCCCAGGCTCTCGCCCATTCGGAACGCGTGCCGGCATCGCTGCACCGGTCGCTCCCACTCGCTCCGAGCTAGCTCCATCACCTTGGGGTCGGCACCGCACCTGCGAGTGGACCCAGGCAGCGGCACAGCGGGGGAGCCTGGCCTGTGGCTGGCCCCGCGGAGCACCTAAGCCCTCCCCTCCCGCACGGCCACAGGCAGACACAACGCCTCAGGCATTCAGGCTCGTACAGGACGCCAGGCCTGAACTAAATTCGCACTCCAGCACCCAAGCAGGCCAGAGACCGAGGTATGCCGGGAACTGTGCCCGACCAATGAGGGTTTGAAACGTCACGCCGCAATGCATTCAGGGACATGTAGTCACGTAGGCGCCGCTAGCCACGCCCCACAGCCCTGCCGCCCGCGTGCGAGGAAGCTGCGGCGTGTGACGTCACGTCCGTCGTGCGGAGTGCTTTCCTGCGGCGTTTCCTCCCTCGTTCTCTCTTTGCTGCCAGACCGCCGCCATCATGGGTCGCATGCACGCTCCCGGGTGAGGCCACGGCGCCGAGCGGGGTTGCGGGGCTGGGCTGCGGGGCTAGGGTGCGGGCGGGCGGGCGTGTGGAGGGACGCTGAGCGCGCGCCGCCGCCTCACCCGTGCGCTTCCCTCTCCAGGAAGGGCCTGTCGCAGTCGGCTCTGCCCTACCGCCGCAGCGTCCCCACCGTGAGTATTCGGGAAGAGGGTGCGGGGCGGGAACCTCGGGGTTGCAGCCCCCCTGAGCCCCGTTCGTCTTCGTCCGCAGTGGCTGAAGCTGACGTCTGACGACGTGAAGGAGCAGATTTACAAGCTGGCCAAGAAAGGCCTGACTCCATCCCAGATCGGTGAGTGCGGCCTGATGCGGCGCGGGTGCTGCGTGCGCTGTGGTGTATGTTCCTTGTGCTATTGTGTGGAGCCCCTGGGATCCGCTGCTCGGTGCCTCACATGTGGGTGAATTCGCTCTCAGCTTTTCTGACTTTGTGCGCATGCCAAATAATTCGTGGCTGTATGTTGAGGATGGCGCTGGGTCCTGAGAATAACTGCCCTAGCCGGAGCGTGCACTGATCCACAGGACTCTGAGGTTTAGAAGAACGGTGTATGTGAAATTTAAGATTGGTACAGCTTATTGGTACAGGTACCGTTGGCCTGATTTTCGTTTTATGTCTGTGCATGCATTGCCTGCATGTATGTAAGTGCATCCGTGTCGTGCGGTGCCTGCAGAGGTCAGAAGGGGGTCAGATCCCCTGGAACTGGAATTACAAGTGTTAGCCACCATGTGAGTACAGGGAATTGAACCCGGCTCCTCTGCAAGAACAGCCGGTGCTCTTAACTACCAAGCCATATCTCTAGCCCCTTGATCTGGTTTCATTGAAAACCAGATACAAAGGTAGAAACCTGATGGATTCCATTGTTCAGCTGTGTTCTGGTGAACTCACTGTGATAATGGTGTTCCAACATTGGCAGTGTCTACCAGAAGGGTATCCCCCATGTTCAGTAACCTTCCTCAGATGCCTGAGTGAGCTTTGCCGCACTTTGTGTTGGTTTTTGACAAACAGGAAAGTTGGAGTTGCTCTCTGGGCTTTATCACCGTGCTCAAATTTGTTTTGCTTCAGAAATTACAATGGGTTCCCCTTTTCAGGTGTGATCCTGAGGGACTCCCATGGGGTTGCACAAGTCCGTTTTGTGACTGGCAATAAAATTTTGAGAATCCTTAAATCCAAAGGACTGGCTCCTGATCTTCCTGAGGATCTCTACCATTTAATTAAGAAAGCAGTTGCTGTTCGCAAGCATCTTGAGAGGAACAGAAAGGTAAGAAAGCAAGCCCCAAGCCTAATACTATGCAGAAATGCTTATACTAACCTCCTTTAGTTAGTAGAGCACATTTGATTCAAATTAGTCGAGGTGGTTCTGACCACAAACTACTCAGCTGCTTTGAAATAAGTCCTGCTGGAAGACATAGTCAGGTTTTTTTGACTCCCCTAAATAAGTTATGTCCAGTTGGTTGAAAATGTTGGTGTCTTGTCTTGGGGGGGGGCGTTGCGGGCCACTCCTATGCCTTGTTTGGGCCTTGAATACTTAATCTAACCATATTAAACTTAGACTGTGACTCTATTTGGGGGCATCGGGAGTGATTTACTTGTTCTTGAGTCATTATTTTACTTTTAGGATAAGGATGCTAAATTCCGCTTGATTCTGATAGAGAGCAGAATTCACCGGCTGGCTCGTTATTACAAGACTAAGCGAGTCCTCCCACCCAATTGGAAATAGTAAGTCTATATGTACTTTTTAGAGTGCTGGTTAATGAATATCTGTTGGTAGATGCAGTAAAGGCTTGGTAGGAGGTATTTTGCCCTTCTGGGTCCTGTGGTTGACTGCTGTTTCAGCTCAGTTCTGTCAAGATAGGGGAAAGTGTTTATAAAAACAAGCAGAGAGCCATAGCTTGCAGGCCTCCAGTTTGCGCCATGGACGGCATTTTGAGACCGTTGTAGACAGTGACACTTCATTTTCACTTCCGATTCCCCAGTCTTAGTGTAGTTTTAATTTTTACTTGAATAGCTCACTATAGTGATTGGTCCAAACATCCATACTTGCCACCAAAAATGTTTTTCCTCATATTGACTGCTTCGTGGATGTCTGAGAGTGTGTGCGCTGACTGATTCTGGGGTCTGTCTGTTTGGTGCAGTGTATGTGTTTGGGTTTACTTTAGCTACTTGGGAATAACTCCCTGGCAGGAAGAGGTCTGTGAATGGATCCTGAGGACCAGTGTTAATCCCAGTTTTCTCTCCCCCTTCTCTCCTTTTCAGTGAGTCATCCACAGCCTCTGCTCTAGTGGCGTAAATTGGTCCTGTGTACTGAAGCAATAAAGCTGCTTTAAATCATTACAGTTTTGTATTTCTTTCTCTGATTGGCAGTTCATATGTGTTGACCTTTTATTTTTTTAATGTGTACGAATGTTATGCCTGTGTGTATATAAGTGCACATGTGTTATGCAGGGCCCACCCGGGACAGAAGAGGGTGTCAGATTCCCTGGAGTTAAAGTTGTTAGCTGCTATGTGGGTGCTAGATTTGGAACTTGGGTCTTCTGCAAGAACAGCCAGTGAGTGCTCTTTACCACTGAGCCATCTCTCCTAGCCCCTTAAACTGCTAGATTTGGAACTTGGGTCTTCTGCAAGAACAGCCAGTGAGTGCTCTTTACTACTGAGCCATCTCTCCTAGCCCCTTAAACTGCTGATTGATTGGTAACTGCTAACTATATGTAGAACTGAGAGACAAGGACGCAGTTACTGTGATCCTATTCGAAAAGGTTTGAGTATTTATGTAGTTGACGTTAATAATGTGGCATCGGGAATATGCCCTATACTGCCTATGAGGAACTGATTTCAGTCTCCCTAGAGGAAAATTGATACAGAAACCATTAGTTATAATTACAAATTTGTAAATCTTGTAGTAAGCCAACAGAATTATTGCCAGTATTAAAACCGACACTAAAATGTACATCATGGACCTAATTCGGGAAAGAAAAAAAAAGTAGTCTTTAAGTCATTTGGGTGTGGGAGGAGTATCGAAATTGGCTTTCAAAAATAGTCCTGGGGCTTGGATGTGGTAGCAGAGGCAGGTGGATCTCTGATTCCAAGGCCAGCCTCATCTACATAGTTCCAGGCTACCTGGGAATACAGGGAAACCCTGTCCCAAATTTTGGCCTGAAAAATATAAGGACAAGATAAAACAATTGCACACTGCTGTAATAAAATATGTAGCTTCAGGGCCAGGACTTCAGAAGGCCTGAGTTCAATCCCCAAAGCCCCTGTAGCCTCAGAAGACACTCATGGTAAACAATCTCTTCTGAAGAGAAAATCTTTTCAAATGTGCTGTTTCATTGTTTTTAGATGGGGTCGTGCTATGTTGCCCAGGCTTGTCTTAAACTTGTGGGCTGAAGTGACCCACTTCCTCAGTAGCTGGAACTACAGGCTTATAGTGTATGGGTTATTTAACAAGGCAAAGCTAAAAACAGCTTTTTGAGGGAGGAGACAACTGCTTTCATGTCAGTTGTTTTTTAATTATTGTGTGTTCAGGGACATGCAGTTGTATGTGGGGATGTATATGCCACCAGTGCTGGCAGAGGCCAGAAGAGGCAGCAGCTCTTAGGTAGTGGTAAGCCACCTGACCTAGGTGCTGGGGTCACATCTACAGTCCTGGATGAGCACTAACTGCTGAACTATCAGCCCTAAAATTTACTTTTTTTTTTAGTTGTTGAGACAGGGTCTTATGTAGCCCCAGCTGGCCTTGGAAGTATTTGGACCAGGCCAGCCTCAAATTCAAAGATCCACCTGCCTCTGCCTGCCAAGTGCTGGGATTGAAGGTATGTGCCACCATGTAGCTAAATTGACTTTTTTTTTTTAATTGACATGAAATTCACAAAATGCAAAACAAACTTGAAGGTGAATGATTCTGTAGCATTTAATAAATTTGTTGTAGTTTTGTTTCCTCCAAGTGAAATCCCATAATTAACCAGCAATTTCTATGTTCTGCTAATTGCGCCCTGGCAAGGGTCAAGCTGTTTTTTGTTTTTGTGGATGTGCCTGTTGTGGGCATCTTCTTTGAAGTGGAATCTAAGTACATGGCTTTCACGTGGCGTCTGTCAGTTCCTCCCTTCTTTTTCTCTTTGAGACAGGGCCTCCCTGTAACTCCAGCTACCCTGGAACTCGCTGTGTAAAACAGGTTGGCCTCGGTCTCCCCTTTTTTCACAGTGCTAGGGACTGAACTTAGGACTTCAGGTGTGTTAGGCTGAGCTGTCTCCAGCCCTCCTGAGCCACCTTGGTTTTGTTTTCTGACATTTTCTTTCCCTGACAGCTCATGATTATGCCATTGTTATATTTAGGGAGATTTTTGTGTATACATACCTACATGTGTGTGTGTGCAGAGGCACGTGCATTTGGAGGCCAGAAGAGGGCGTGTGTCCTGCTCTGTCATTTTCCTTATTTCTTTGAGGTAAAGTGCCTTCACTGAACCTGGAGCCAACTGCAATGATCCTCCTGTCTCTGCCCTCCACAATGCTGAGGTTACAGGTGCACACAGCCACACCTGGCTTTTTATGTTGGTGTTGGGGATTGAGATCCTCATGCCTGTGCATCAAGTGCTCTTAATACTGAGCCACTTCTCAGCCCCTGTTATGGTTAGGTGAGTATCCATGTTGATATTTCTGTGACTTGTATATACAGTATGTCGATGTGATTCTTCATTTGTTTCTGTAAATATGCATTTACAAAAAAATGTTAGTAATTATCTCCTTCCCATCTGTTAGTGTTCCGTGCTCGTATTTTTAGTTCATCCCCAAACATTATTAGCTTAGAGCATCCCTCAGTTTAGATCTCTGTAGATTCAAGCACTTGTTATTTCTTGCTGATACCTCTCCCATCCTCTGGCTCCAGTGAGACATGTTACCTGTGTAAGTGCAGGTATGTTCATGCACAGTGTGTGGTGGTCAGAGAATAACTTTGGGGCTAGTTCTCACCTTCCACCTTTTTTATGTGTATGTGTGAGACAGGGTTTCCTATTGCCGCTGTCCTGAGTACTAAATGCTGGCCGGCACACTGGGCAGTTGTCCTGTCTTCACTGCTAAGATTACAGACATCTTTCTTCTGGGTTTTGTTTTGTTTTGGTGTTTTTGGTGTTTGCATATGTTTGTTTTTGAGACAGTGCCTCACTTTGCAGTCCTAGCTGGCCCTCAAACACAAAGATCCTGTCTGTCTCTGCCTCCTGAGTGCTGGAATTAAAGGCTTGTGCCACTATGCCTGACTACATCTGGCTTTTTATATGGGTCCTGGAGTCCCAACAAAGATCCTCTCTGCCTCTGCCTCCTGAGTGCTGGAATTAAAGGCTTGTGCCACTGTGCCTGACTACATCTGGCTTTTTATATGGGTCCCAGGGTCCCAACTTGGGTCATCAGGCTTGTGAGCCATTCCCCCAGCTCTGGGACAAGTTAACTCTTGAGACTTAATTCTGGGATCCTCTGCCTCCGATGTCAGATCCCACTTTCTATTCTATCATGTCTTTCTGTTTTTTGTTTTACCCCTTCCTTTGGTAAAACACATCCATCCTTCACTGTCACCCAAAGAAAAGGCCCTCTCCACCCCTCACTTCCCTTTGTTTCTAACTTCTGGTTAACCTCGTCTGGTCTGTGACTTTAAAGCTGTTTCAGGCCATTCAAGTTCACCCTCTAAGCTTCACACTTGGATGTGTGTCTCCCTGACATCCACCTATAGTTGATCTCTAATGAATGCCCAGATTTTTTTATGTTGCAAACAGCTCTTGATGTTTGGCAAGCTTAATCCTGCCTTTTCTCCAGAAATTTCCATCTCAGGAATTGGCAACTTCTTCCTCAAGCTAAAAACCTGAGTCTTTGCCCTTTTTTCTTGTACCACAACTCCAGTTGATCACTGGGCCTCTTGGCTCCACCTTCACAACATACCATAAACTGTCCCACTTAACCTCCTGTTACAGTTACCCACCCCACCTTGATGTTACCATTGTAAAAGCCCAACTATTGATTTTCTGGTCCACACTCACCTCTGCCTTTCTGTACTTTGCTCCCACAGTATATCTCATTTTTTAAAAATTAGGAGCTGGAAAGATGGGTCAGCAATTAAGACACTTGAACAGCTCTTACAGAGGACCTGGGTTCAGTTCCCAGCACCCTCGTGGCATGTGTGTCAAGAGCAGGTAGATGCTTGAGCTCTTACTAAGTCTGTTCAGATGTGAACTTAGCACCCTAGAGAATGTCTCCTGATCACCCTGTAAAAAGAATGATCCTCTCACCAGCACACCATCCATTGTTCCTGCTCTGTCTTCACAGTACTTTTCACCACTTAACATGGGTGTGTGTATGTGTAGAATCTTGCTGTGTAGCCCAGGCTCGCCTTGAATTTGCCTCCTTTGGCCTTAGCCTCCCAAATGCTAGGATTTACACACATGCATTAGCACACTCATCTTTTACCTGTTAGGTTTTATTGTTATCCCTTTCCTCTTTTCAGGATATAAGTAAACCCCATTAGAACAGGGATTGTGTTCACTGCTGTGCCCTTAGTACTTAGAAAAGTATCTATCTTATAGTAGGTACTCAACTCTTGTTAAACGAATGTCCTTAAGGGATGAAAATAGTTGAAATCTTGGAAAAGTGTCTTTTTCTAGCTCTGTTGATTGATAAGAGAATTTGGGAATAGATTCTAGGTTGGAAGTCATTTTCTCCTGAACTGTTTGAGCACTTAGTTTCAGGCTTTAAAAGCAAGTAGAAAACTGATGTCATTCTGATTCCAATTCCTTTCAACCTGGTTCTAATGCCCCGTCCTGTCACTGCCTCTTCCTGCTTTTAGGATTCTTGGTGCTTGATGGCCTGCAATTTGTAGCAATGCCTAGCTCTTATTTACTCACTTTTCATTTGTTCTGGAAGGCTCTCGGTACCACTTCAGACTCCAAACTGTCTTGTTATAGTTTACTTGAATTACTCCTTGATAACTCCATCTTCCCCCCCGTATCTCATGCTCTTTTCCTTCTTTGGTGAGTTGCAACTTTTATCTTTTAATCTTGATAGTTTTCTCATTTTTACCTTCTTAAGTTCCCGGACTTGGGGTGCTGTCTCTCTGAGAGGCAGCAGTGTCACCTCTGATTGGTAGTGCTTCCCTGTTTGTACAATGCACACACTCCCACCATTTATGGGATGATGCGGCATGTGGCTGGGAGAGGCTCAGGAGCACACTGGTGTGGAGTTGCCCTCCACAGGTGAGCTGGACAGATGACTACAAGAACATGGGTGACAGTTAAATGTCGAGAAGTGCAAATTGAGTGCAGCTCTTTTGAATGCATTGTGTACTCAGTGTTTTTACTT